CACACTCCACTCCTCTCCCTTCCACCTGGCGGAGGTGGGAAGGCAAAACCAAGGCCACTTCAACATTCGGCCCTTGAGACTCCCGGGCTGGGCCGGGCTGTGCTGGGTAGGCTCGTAATTTTAGCAGGTCACACAACCAGCCAGCAGATACAAAAGTGCCCACATTTCTGCAGTGTATTAGTTTCCTAGGGCTGCTGTCACAACATATCACCAACCGGGTGCCTTAAAACAACAGAAGTTTATTCTTTCATGTTCTGGAGGCTCAAAGTCTGCAATCCAGGGGTTGGTAGGGGTGGTTCCTTCCGGAGGTCCAGGGGAGAAACCCTCCCAGCTCTCTCCCCCGGCTGCTGCTGGCACCTATCAACCCTGGCGTTCCTTGGCTTGTGGCAGTGTAACTCCTCCACTCTGCCTGGAAAGTTCTCCCCGTTCCTCACCCCCTCTTCCCTCCACATGTGAAAAGCATCCACTCACCATTGAAGCCTCTCCCCTGGATGAGGGCTAACCCGAATGCGGTGGGGAGTGTTCACACCTGGTGCCCAGCGGCGGTCCCTGTGTGTTTCTCCCAAGCAACACCTACCGCAATGTGCTGCTTTTGCTTCATTACTGCCCACCTGGCCACTAAACCAAACCAAGCGTCGTAAAGGCAGTTATCTTTGGAGTCCCCCACAGTGATGCAGATCATCCACAGCTGTGAAATGGTTGAACAAGCATAGAAATTGCCTTCAGGGGATAGAGACCGTATTTGTATTATATGCCTTACAATGCTTGGTGCGTAGTTGGCTCTCAAATGCTTCCTGTGTGGTTTAGTGAATGAATGAAAAAGCCTCTATTTGCTAGGACGCAGGGGTAGTGGGAGCTGTGAGTCATGGACACTTGCATTTCCATTAATGTAATGCCCTGAGGAAATAAAATTCTCTCATCCTTTTCTTCTACTGACTCAGGTGCTTCTTAAATGAAATTTAATTGAGGTCAGGGAGGGGGACAGGTGCCACCTTCCATCTCGCTAATGAAGAAGTGAAAGGAAAGAAAGGGGAAGTCCTGGGCCTGAGGTTCCTGAATTCTGAGGTAGTGTTGGTTAAGTGGCCAGGACCAGGATGTCGGTTCCTGGTTTATTCCTACAATCAGGAGTGGGGATCATGGGGTACCAGGGTGGCTCAGTCTGTTAACCGTCCAGCTCCTGACCTCAGGGTTATGACCTCAAGCCTTCCATTGGGTTCCACACTGGGCATGGACTCTACCTAAAAAAGGGGGAAAAAGAGTGGGGATCCTGGTGGTATTGGGCCGTGGCATGGGTAAGAGAGGTGTCAGCTAGGATGGGGTTCTGGGACTCCCAGACTGAAGCTGCTCCAGGCCCATCCCCATGGAAAATGATCCCTCGGGCAGCCCGGGTGGCTCAGCGATTTAATGCTGCTTTGGCTCAGGGTGTGATCCTGGAGACCTGGGATGGAGTCCCACGTCAGGCTATCTGTGTGGAGCCTGCTTCTCCCTCTGCCTGTGTCTCTGCCTCTCTCTCTATCTCTCCATTTCTCATGAATAAATAAAATCTTAAAAAAAAAAAGACCCCTTGCTGGCCTTGCAGCTGAATGAAGGTCCTCTCTAGTATCAGACCAACCTCTCTTTTGGGGGGAACAAGGCACCCTTATCGTAAGGCTCTCTCTTCTCATCTCATTTCCAGTCATGTGAGCTTCCCTTCTGTGTCCCTTAACAGTGCTACCTGTCACTTGAAGCCAGGTAACACTCAAAGGGTAACTAGATTTGGAGTCATACCTGGGTCTCCAGACGCCCTTTATACCATTTCTTCCATTGATTCTGTGGGCCTTCAACCTTGTTCTCCAGACCATTTTAGTCTAGGACAAGAGACCTAGCAAATGAATGATTTTACCTCCTGACCACCGCCCCCTGTCTCCATGAGGGGCATCTCAAAATTATTCAGCTATCCATCTCATCCTCCCAGTTTCCACTCCTGTTCCCTCTTGGCCCCCCCACAACCAGACCCCACAGGGCATTCTAGGGCAGGGCTGAGACTAGGAGAGGTAAACAAGGTGCCCAGGACTCACAATTTAAGGAGATACTAATTCTCAGGGTTGTGTAGGTATCTCCTTAAATTTTGTATTCCGGGGTGCCCTGGCTTGGTGCTGGGCTAGTGTATTAATAAAGGGAATGGAGGAGGAAAAGAAGTTAAAAGGAGGGTAGAAGAGTGCTGAGAGAACAAGGCAGGAAATCTGAAGTCAGTGGCAAAGTGGAGAATAATGGGTGTATCCTTTGGGTAAATACCGAGTAGTGCAATTGCTGGATCATAGGGTAGTTCTATTTTTAACTTTTTGAGGAACCTCCATACTGTGGAATTTAATAAACAAAACAAATGATCATAGGGGGGAAAGAAGAGAGAAGAAAGCCAAGAAAGGACTCTTAACTATAGAGAACAGACTGATGGTCCCACCCAGGGTCGGTAGGTGGGGGGATGGGTTGAATGGGTGATGGGGATGAGGGAGGGCACTTGTCTGATGTTGTTGTTTGTAGTTGTTGAATCACTAAATGGTACACTTGAAACTAGTATTGTACTGTATGCTAACAAACTGGATTTTTTTTTTTTTTTAGATTTGTTTCAAAGTTTATTTAAGCAATCTCTACACCCAACATGGGCCTCGAACTCACTCCCAACTAACTGGAATTTAAATAAAAAATAAAAAAAAAAGAAAAGAAAGAAAAGAAAGAAAGAAAGAAAGAAAGAAAGAAAGAAAGAAAGAAAGAAAGAATCATGGGTTCATGTAGTCACTGGTAGCTTTCCCTGCAGAAATCTCACACACACAGCCTCAGACCTGCTCCATGTCACCCAGAGAATAAGAAACAAGAGGAAAACCAAAACACAGTCACCCCTTTCTCAGGAGGTTTTCCGGAGTTTCTTGTCCCAGGGAAGACAAGAAAAGGGAAGAAATCCCTAAAGTCGTGTCCTCTCTGCTTTCACTCCCTCCTCAGACTCTATCGACATTTTCTTTTGGACATCTAGAACCTCGCCAGAGGCATGGTGATTAAGTCTTAAGATGCCTGAGGAGGAGCCCTTAGAGGCTGCTAGTCCTGGGAGCCACTAGCCACGCAGGGCTTTTGAGCACTTGCAGTGTGACTACTCCAAACCGATGAGTGCTGAGTATAAAATACACAGTTTTTGAAGACTGAGTTTGAAACAAAAGAATGTAAAATAGCTCACTAATATTATTTAAGAGATTGATTATACTGAAATGATAATGTTTGGGACCTACTGGGTTAAATAAACTATATTAAAATTAATCCACCCCTTTTACTTATTTTAACGTGGGTGCTAGAAAAAAAATTGTAAATGTTTAATTTTTTAAAATAGATTTTTAATTAATGATTTTTTTCAAACTCTTGGTGGAGGGCTGACTTTCAATAGATCAAGGGGAGGGAGCCACTATGCTACCTAGGAAACCCACCCAGAAGCAGGTCCTCTAGGAATGGTTTAGCATCCAGGTCCCCACCGAAGGGCTTCTGGCCATGTCCTGTCTCCCTGGAAGAGGGGCTCTCTGCTCAGTGGCTGCTAGAAAATTTAACATCACAAATGTTGCTCGCATTTGTGGCTGGAACAGTAGATCTATTGGACAAGGGTGGTCTCATCCCACTTCCTCCTTGAAAACAAGAAAACTGAGGGCCAGAGAGAAGAACTCACTTAGCAGATGGCACACGCTAAAAAGCACTGCTATTTCCAGCAACCTCTCAGTTGCTGGTACACACACACACACACACACACACCCCTAGGAGCCTGGGGAGAGGAGTGGACAGACTACAGAACCCTGGGCTGCAGGCCTCGAGCGAAATATTCCAAGACCCAACGCACTGGCTGTGGTTTCTTGGAAGTGAAATGAAAACCGAATAAAATCACATTTTAAAAGCCCATTAGTCTCTGGAAACTTGGGGTGTGGGGACAAAGCTGGGGAGGCTGAGGCCTTCCCCTGTTCATTCACATGCATAATAACACCGGTTCGTTTACGGTAGGCCAGTCGGCGCCCCAAAGGCACAGAACCCCTCCTCTCCGAGGCAGCTGGGGTGGAGCCTTACCCTGAGCCCTGACACCGAGGGGCAGCCACTCCAGGATTGTTTGACAAGTAAACAAAGACGAGTTTCGGGAGGATTGGCTTGATACAGGGGAGAGGAGTGGGCAGCGCGGGAGGGGGAACCAGACACCAAAGGCAAATGCCTTTATTTCATAATTTCTGTCTGGCGCCCCGTTCTCATCACCCTGCAGGGTCAAGGCTTCCGGAGAGGCAGTTTAGGGCCGCGGAGAGACCACGAGGCCTCCGCCCGGGGCAGCTCTGCGGGCGCTCGGCCGGGGACAGTCCCGACGAGAGGAGTGGGGGTGCGGAGCCCCCTGCACCCCGGGGAGTCTTCTTTGGTTCCCGCCTGGCTTCGGCGCCTCCTCGCCCGCACCTGGCGTCGCCTCGTGCCCGGGCGGGTACCCGGGAGCGACGGCGAGGCCAAGGCCAGGGGCCAGGTGACAGCGTCGGGGCCTCCCCCGCGGGGGGGGGGCGCCTGGGGCTCAGCTCTCCCTCCCGCGTGCACGCACGCTCGGGCGCACGGGACGCGGGGGGAAACCGAGGCGCGGCCGAGGGGCGTGCCCGGCGGGGAGGGCGGGGCCGCGGGTGTGGCCCGCGGGTGTGGCCCGGGGCGGGCGGGGCCCTGGAGCGCGTGTCCCCGGGGCCTCGGGACGGTGCGCGCGCCCCGCGCGGTCGGACGTTCCAGATGGGGCCGAGGTGGTCCCCCCCGTCCGCCCCCATTGGAAGGGTGACTGTGCCGCTGACGTCAGGAGGCTTTTGGTTCATTCCCTGGCACCGGGACCTTATTTTCCTAAGAGCGCTCGGCGCGCCGCGCTCCCGCCCCGTGTCCCCCGGCTCACCCCTCCCCCGGCCCTCCCCCGGCTCACCCCTCCCCCGGCTCACCCCTCCCCCGGCTCACCCCTCCCCCGGCGACAGCTGCCGGTATAACCGCTGGGCGCCCGCGGGCTTCCCCGGCACCCGAAGCCTCCCGGGCCGCCTCGACGTGCGGGGAGCCAGCGGCTCGGGCGCCCGCCTCCGCCCGGGCTCCAGGGTGAGCGCGGCGCGCAGCCCGGGGCGAACCCGCCTCCGGATTCAAATCCTGCGGGGAGGGCGGCGCTGGGTGGGGTGGGAGGCGGGAGGAGAGAACTCGGTGGTGGACTACGGCTGGCTAGGAGGGGGGGTTCTCTGGCTTAACCCAGATTCCTCCCCACGCCCAGCTTCCCCGGCTAAGATAAGAGGCAGACAGACAGACAGACGGCTCAAAGGCCAGAGCAGTCGTTTGTGCTCGGACACGTCGTACCAACGCTTAGCAGGTGGAACCTGGCTGGCAGGTGAGCAGTCCGGGGATCACCCTAGGGGAAGGGAAAAGACGGAGGAAGATTTTCGAGGAAGGGGTTGGGGGTGGAGAGGTTTGGGAGTCGGTGGTGGGGGAGGTAGGAGGAGGGAGATGGTGCTAATTGCTACCTCACCCAGGTACAGAGAAGTTTTGATCAATTTTGTTCTTCCGCAACGAGCACAGGCTTCTGCGTTTTGGAAAGTAGATTGTAGAAGCCACCCCTCTCTCTCGATGGGAGGGCCAGGCTGTCGCTCCACAGCATTCCCTCCCTGGCTGGGCTGTCCGTGGAGTTGCTCAGGAACCCTGGGGGGGGGGGGATGGAAGTTGAATATCCAATAACAGCCCACCTTCTGGGCAGCAGCTAGGTGGGACCCAGGTGTGGCCTCAAGGCTGTTGGAGAAGCTCCCTTCAACATCCACTGGGAAGGAAGGGTTAGTGATAGGGGAAGCCTGCTCGGGATCAGGGAATTTTGAAGGACTTTCTGTTCCTGACCTCTTTCTAGGTTGATTTTCTTTTCTTTTTTAGATTTTATTTATTTATTCATTCATGGGAGTCAGAGAGAGAGAGAGAGAGAGAGAGAGGCAGAGGGAGAAGCAGGCTCCCTGCAGGTACCCTGATGCAGGACTCAGTCCCAGGACCCTGGGATCACCACCTGAGCCAAAGGCAGATTTTCAACCCCTGAGCCACCCAGGTGCCCCTCCAGGCAGATTTTCTCCTCAAAGGCCACATCTGTTTGAAGGGTTCAGTTGAATCAGCCACCACTTTTGGCTCGTTTCTTTTCTTTTTTAATTTAAATTCTATTTAAAATTCGATTTGCCAACATAAAGTATAACCCCCAGTGCTCATCTCATCATGAGTTTGGGCTCATTCCTGAAAGAGAATACTTGAACCACTTCAGATACATGGGCTGGGATCCATGGGAGGGGTGAGAATGGGGGTCTGAATTCCACCCTCCAGGTCTGTGTGCTGGCTATTTCTAGGAGAGGGAAGGAATAACGGAAAGGAAGCCTCAGCAGAGGCGTTACTTGGGAAGAAACAGAAAGGCTCCTGGGGGGGTATGGTGAGAGGTGTGTTCAGAGGCAGATCGAAAGCAGCAGAACATTACTGGGAAGTGCTCTCAGTTTTGAGTCAGAAGACTGACTCCTCATCCAGGCTCTGCCAGACCTGACCTGTAGCTCTGAGGCAGCCAGGGTTTGGGCCTTGAGTTTCTCCTGAGGGGTCTTTTTTTTTTTCTTTTAAAGATTCTATTTATTTATTCATGAGACACACACACACACACACACACACACAGAGAGAGAGAGAGAGAGAGAGAGAGAGAGAGAGAGAGAGGCAGAGACACAGGCAGAGGGAGAAGCAGGCTCCATGCAGGGAGCCCTACGTGGGACTCAATCCTGGGTCTCCAGGATCACACCCTGAGCTGAAGGCAGACACTCAGCTGCTGACCTGCCCAGGTGTCCCCCTTCAGCAAGCTATTTAATTTTGTACTTGATACATAATACCTGCTAAGTAAACAATATCTGTTACTACTTATTTTTGCATTTATTTAAATTTTTTCATTTGCTTTCAACGTTTTGTTTTTATTTTTAGAGAGTGGGGAGAGGAAGAGAGAATTTTTTTTTTAAGATTTTATGTATTGATTCATGAGAGACCCACACACAGAGGCAGAGACACAGGAAGAGGGAGAAGCAGGCTCCTCATGAAGAGCCTGATGCTGGACTCAGTCCCAGGACCCTGGGATCATGATCTGAGCCAGAAGCTCAACCACCAAGCCACCCAGGCATCCCTAGAGAGAGAGAGAATCTTAAGCAGACTCCACACCCTTGGCAGAGCCTGACAGGGGGCTGATCTCACAACTCTGAGATCTTGACCTGAACCAAAATCAAGAGTCAGAGGCTTAAGAGACGGAGCCACCCAGGCACCCCAACTTTCAATGTTTCTGAATCTTGTTCTTATAGGTATATAGAGTTTAATTTAATCTTTTTTAAAAATGAAGAAGTTACCATTTATATTTATTGTAATAACTGTTGCCTGCTATTGCCAAATAGATTTTGGCCACGTGATCTGCCCTCTCCATCTTTTCCCACATTAGTAGTCTATATTTTATCTTTAGATATGCTAGGGTGCTAAGTGGTTGGTTGTGCTATTCTCAGGGCTTAGAAACACAGGCTTATGAGGAAAGATGATAAATTTAGCTTCGGACTTGTTGGACTGAGCATGAATATGTTCCCTTTATATATTAAAATATTTTAAAAAATAAAATAAAATATTTAAAAGAAGGTTCTTTTGAGAGTTGGGAGCTGGTATACCAGTAGAGGACTTTATCCACCTATTTTCTGGACATTTTCTTTCTTAAAACCCTAGGCCTAAAAGATTTGGAAGTTTCACTCAAAATCTTATTTTCTTTTGTTTTTTTATAAAAGATTTCCAGTATTTTATTTTATATTCCAGCAATCTGTTTTACAATAATCTGAAGTTCATATGCTTTGTTTAGAATGGAGGAAGATAGTTTGTAATGCCCCCAGGGGTACCTGAAAGTGAAAAATCAGGGATAAATTCTATAGTTATATTTGTTTAGATCTTCCTAAAGTGGTTCAATGATTCATTTTCTCTCAGTTGCTACAAAGAAACTCAATTCAGTGATGTTATTCATAAGCTGTTGCCATAATCACTTTTATGTCATCAGAATTAGGATGACTCCTCAGAACAGAGGATCCTGGAGATTTTCCTATAGACATTTTCCATTTATAACTAATCCTTCATCAAGGCCAGAGAAATTCCTGTGGGACTCCACCCTTGTCTTAGAATTCAGCCTAGATTAAAAAAAATGAGGATAAGCATTAGTGCATATTCATCTTCAAAAATTCTTCCTCCCCATTACTCACACTTACTAATAAATAACTTGCTTTGAGTAAATATTCAGTGGTCAGCCTGAGTCCAAAACATTTGCTTGGCAACCGCTGTGCGGAACACCTAGTGAGGAGGATACCAACAAATAGAAAATTTGCTGTTTCTTTAAGAAGCTTCTTATCTTTATTTATTTGTTCATGAGAGACACACACACAGAGAGAGGCAGAGACATAAGCAGAGGGAGAAGCAGGCTCCATGCAGGGAGCCTGATGTGGGACTTGATCCTGAGACTCCAGGATCATACCCTGAGCTGAAGGGAGGCGTTCAACCGCTGAGCGACTCAGGAGTCCTAGAAGCCTGTTATCTGATGGTTGAGTCAGCATTGATATTAATGTATAATATAAAACCTATAGATGGAAAAACTTGAGTGCTAAGAAATAATGAAGAGACCCACAAATTTAGAATGAGACAGGACTAATAATTTTTCAAAACCTTAAGATACAGGTAAGTTTTGGGCTTAGTTTCGAAGTGATGAGGTAAATGGATTGTGTCTAGGAGGGGAAGGGTCTTTCTGGCTGGAACGACAGTAAACTTGCTGAGGCAAAGAGCGTGACTATCACAAAGCCTTAGATGAATCCCAGTTCCCTCCTGGATAGAAATACTCTTGGGAGATTGGCTTGCCTTGCATGGAGTGAGAAAGAGTGAGGAAGAAAGAGAGGAGTGAGGAAGGCAGGAGGGGATGGGTGGGAGGACCAGTTGGAGAAAAGCCATGAAGCTCAAATGGGGACTGAATCTGTTATAACAAATAAAAAGGAGCTAACTAACATGTTAATCCAAAGATCTCTTCCCTTCCTTGTTTCCCTTCTTCATACCATTTGACTCTATTGACTGCTTCTTCTTCTTCTTTTTTTTTTTTTTTTTTTTTTTGAAATTGCTCCTTGGTTTCTGGGAAACCACTTGGGCTTATTATTACTATTACTATTATTCATTCATTCCCAACCCCTGATCATTTTTCTTTATTTTTTATTTTTAAAGATTGTATGTATTTACCCATGAGAGACGCAGAGAGAGAGGCAGAGACCTAGGCAGAGGGAGAAGCAGGCTCCCCGTAGGGAGCCTGATGCGGACCGGATCCCAGGACTCCGGGATCACCCCGTGAGCCAAAGGCAGATGCTCAACCACTGAGCCACTGGGGTATCCCTGGAGCCTGGCTTCTAAGCACCATGAGATCTTGGGCAAGTTATTTAGTTTCTCTGTGCTTCAACTGCAAGAAAAGGGACATAATAATTGGGGTTGTTGTGGGAATTAAGTGAAACAGCGTGTAGCCCAGAGTAAACTCTCTGGAGGACCTCATGCTTGTCCTTTCTGGATGCTGCCAGGTGCAGGTCCCATATTCATCTCAGATTCAGCACGGCTACGTTTGGCATCGGTCCTCACCGGCCTATTTTTCTAAGTTCCATTCTGTTGCCTAAGCCAGAAATCTGAGAATTAACCTGGACCCCTTTTTTCCCCAAGCCCTGTCTCTTCTGCCTTCCTAAAGATCTCTCCGTGTTCATTGCACATCTTTCATGCCTCACCTCCTTGGTCTTTATAGCATTTTTTTTTTTAAAGACCCATTAGGTAGAATGACTCGCTGTTTCCCATGTGCCCTTGGGAATCCCTGCAGACCCCATAACCCCTTATTTGTATGTCAGTGTGACCCTATTGGTCCTGGCAGGGACAGAAGCCATACTTTGGATCTATGTGACTCATACACTTAACACAGTACCTGACACAAAGTAGGTACTTAAATGTTTGTTGATTGAGTGTAGGATCGCTCACTAGAGAACTTCTCAGAGTTGGTTTAAGTAGAGAGAGGCTGGAATCAGGGAGGAAACCTTCAGAGTTCATAAATGAGCAGACTCAGAGCCTGATGTGGGGCTAGGGCTCCATCCCACCACCCTGAGATCATAACTGGAACTAAAACCAAGAGTCCCATGCTTAACCCACTGGGCTGCTCAGGCACCACTGGACATGAAACTGCTAAGAGTCAGTCTTCTCACCTGTAAAATGGCTTGTAGGAATAGTAAATGAGATGGATAACAGATGTAAAAATGTGTAAATGAGAGAAAAGCTATAAATACGTGAACACTCAGCATTGTGCCTGGC